AGTGTACTTGGTCGATCTGCCTGTTCTGCTCCCCACTCTGTCTCTGGTGAATCCTCTCACCCTCCACATCTCTGGCCTGTACCCCAGTTCTGTATCATAAATTTGAATCTCACTTCTCCCAATCTCTACTTGTTAAGGCCAGTCACTTCTGACTTCAGAGGCTGTCTCCTACCCCATAATATGAGAATAATGAAGCCTACCTCGCGGGGTTGGTGTAGGGAATACGAAAGGAAAAGGTCCTCTCTACCCCGCTGTCTGTGCTGTCCCTTTTGTCTCCTTCCCGCCTCTGCAATGGAATGGAAGGAGACATCGTTCTTGGTCAAAAGTTACTGTAGCCTTTATTGTCTTTACCCAAAAAAACTGCCAGAGCCCCAAGAAGAGGTACATGGCAAGGAAAATACACACGCCCCTATCGCTCTCAAACACCTGCTTTCTGAACTCTACCATACTTGTGAAGCATTCCCTGGAACTGCCGACCCGGGGCCCGACTCGCGACCGCCCGGCACTGGGGTCCCCCGACTGAAGGCGCCCGCCGGGTCGCTCTCCCGCCACGGGGGCGGTGGCGTGGGTCTCAGCGGGGCGTGGCGGCGGGCGGAGCCGAGGCGTGGCGGCCTAGAGGGCTCGCGCGGGCTCCGCCTTAGCGATCAACGGGTGGGAACCGCCGCAGAGAGTGCGCGGGAGCCGTTGTTTTTTGTCTCTCTCTCCGCTTCTGTCCTGTCATCAGCATGGCCCGTGAGTGTGCCGAGGGGTTGGGGGCACCGGTGAGGACCCTTACCGCACATCTTAGCACCGAGGCGCGGCTGGAGGGAAGGCAGAGGTTGGCTAACGAGTCCCCTCAGGTCTGGCCGAGCGGAAGCAAGGCTTTTAAAAATCAGTGGAGGTTGGCTCCAGTCGGGTCCGAAAGGTGTCAGATACCTGCCTCTCCGGTGCGAGTTTCCACACTAAAGAGCATCTTCCGTGGAGGTGAACAAAAACCAGCCCTCGGAGAGGTCTTAGTTTGAAGGTGCTTAATAACTGGTACCTGAAGTCGCGAGGCCTAATGATGGCAGGGGGTCCGACTGTCTCCTCCTTAGTTCTTTTGTTTGGCTCTTGCAGGTAATCTTTCACACGGATCTGCATTTGCTCCCTTACAGTGGAACTGTGTGAGGTGTGAGCGCGGTGGATTTTTCTCCACCCACTTCTCTCAAAAGCCAGTACTTATTTTGGAATACTGGCTCACACAGACGATCGGAATGTCTGTTTTAAGAGATCTGGTGTTTATGGCCTGTGAACACCTTGGCTGGTATGCTAATACTCTTAAGACCTTGAGTCATTACCTTTAAGCTTCCAACCCGGTCAGATCTGTAATGCCATTCAGTGCTGCACTCTGCTGCTGACTTAACTTTAAAAAGCAAACTTCACAAGCATTTAAATAAGAGCCATGGCATGAAATTACTGATATTTTTAGAGATGTTCTGTTTCTCTTTGCAGGTGGAAATCAACGAGAACTTGCTCGTCAGAAAAACATGAAGAAATCCCAGGAAATAAGCAAGGGAAAAAGAAAAGAAGACAGTCTGACTACCTCTCAGAGAAAACAAAGGTGAATGATACTAAAGGAATTCTCAGTTCACTGAAGTTTTCATTTTGGAGAATCAAAAGCATTTTTCAATTTCTTAGTAGAACTGGGTCTAAGGATGGCAGTTGAGTAATTGCTGTGCGCAATAAAACAGCCTTGATTTTGAAATTGAGTAAGACTTGATTTTTATGTAGTTGGAGAGAAATTATTTAATTCTAAGTCTTTAAATTTTTTTAATCTGAAACATGGGGATAATAACATAGAGTTGTGGACCTCAGAGGTTAATCCATAGCCAAAGAAACGTTTCCCTAGGTATTGAAAATTATTGGTACTGAATAAATAGCCATTTCATATTCATTTTTAAAACACGGGTCTCATGGACCATCTAGCCCAGGTACACTAGTTGCAGTTCACAGTTAATATGGCATTTGGAAATTTATTTGGTATTTATTTTCTGACTTAGAAGAATCTAATTTGTTTGCTAACAATTAGGTCCTAGTCCTTGGTACCTAGTCCTAGGTACTTGGTACTTGGTAAGGAAATCTAGAGGCTTACAGTCCTCCTCTTTCAGGGAAAAAAAATTTAGAAAAAAATTAATTTTGTTGACAATCAAAAATAATTGTCATTATTTCTATATGTAGCCAACGTCAGGTACCCCCCTCCACATACACACACACACATTAACATATATGTTCCTAAGATCAGCACTGAGACATATTGCTTTTCAGTTATTTACCCAAAGTCATGGTAAAAATGGAGATGGTATTCAGTTTAGACTTCCCTAAGAGTCTTTCCATTTTCTGTCTTCCCATGCTGTGTCCATCCACTGAAATGGAAAAACCAGAATGTTTATATCTTCTTTTAAATTATTTTCTAATATACTGAATGATTTATTTATAGAAACAAATGAGAAGTTAAAATCAGTTTTTCTTTAACAATTCACAGCCTTTTCCCCCCTTATAGGGACTCTGAGATCATGCAAAAAAAGCAGAAGGCAGCTAATGAGAAGAAGTGTATGCAAACGAGAGAACAATGATGACAAATGAGAGAACAATGATGACGGGCCATTTGGAAAACCTGGGTACTACTGCCAGCTTGGCGTATAATAAGCTCTATGATCAAGATTTTGTAGAGTGAACAGTCATCCACATGTGATACCTTATCCTTATAAAACTATTTTAAGCTTCACCTCTTAGCTTGAGTTAGTATAATGTTTCAGAACCACCTTCAAAGAATAAAACACCAACCATGCATCTCACATATCGGTGAACATTATTTTTTTTAATTAACAGTGAACATTTTTATAAATCATTACAGAATGTAATCAGATAAGAGAATCTTATATAAATCTGGAACCTGTAATAAACTTTGTTAAGTAGCTCTTTAAATCCCATTTTGTTGTCTAATGGAATATAAGATCCATTTATCTAATCTTGCTTTTAATCAACTGCTTGCTTAAAGAATATACAATAATACAAACACATGGAATAACATAAACAAACATAAACATAAACAAAATGAATTCTCAACAGTTCTACTAACAACATAAAAACTTTTCAGAATAAGTGCCTTTTCTTTTTTTAAAGATTTATTTATTTACACATACAGAACTGGGGTACAGGCCAGATGTGCAAGGCAAGTAAAAGGATTCATTAGAGACAGAGTGGGGAGCAGAACAGGCAGATCCAGAGTACACTGCTGAGGGGAGCAGTGGGCGTGTCAGGAGAGGTCCATGTGGGTCACCTCTGGTGCAGGAGAGGATCAAACTCATGCGGAAGTAGTGCTGTGCTTTAACCCACTGCACCACCAGGGAGGGTCAGTGCCTTTTCTTTTAGTGGACTGTTTTTAAAGCAGTTTCAATTCACAACAAAATTTCTCATACACTCTTGCCCGCTACATAGATCGCCTTTCCCATTATGAGCATCCCCCACCAGTCATACTTTTGTTACAACTGATGAACATCTGGCACATTTATTATCACTCAAAGTATATAGTTTACTTTAGGTTTCACTTTGTGTTCTAACAATTCCATTTTCATAGTCTGTTCTGAGCTTCAGAATTTTGTGATTTAATGGTTACAAGTTTGGAACTACACTAATGTAGAGAAACTAAGTTTTGAGACCTTGGTCTATTCCAAAGTAAATATGCATAATTATGGAAAAGAATTAAAATAACACTGAAGGGGCCTCCATGGTAGCACAGGGGTTAAAGTCTCAGTGCTATTAAGCTTTTGTCTGCCATTGCAACATGAGTACAATCCCTGGCCAGGCAGCTAACCCACATGACACAGCAGACTTCTGTTTTACCTGCCTGATGCTCCCCTCAGCAGTGTATTACACTGCTCTGGTGAATTCTCTTAACCCCTCTCACCACCTCTGGCCTACACACCAGAGCCATGTAAAAATAAATAAAATCTTTTAAAACTAAATAAAAAAATAAAAGAACA